GGGACAGGAGTGTGTCAGAATGAATCCTGGCTGCAGGGGAGTGGAAAAATACTTTGTGGTTTTATAGAGCATAAAGGAATTTCAGGCAAAGGCACAAAGCTGGCTTTTATCTCCCTGCTCTTTTTTATTTGTTTATTTTCAATCACTAAAATACAGACTCCTCGAAATAAAATTTAATTGGGATTTTTCAGAATGGACTTGGTTTTAATATCATTACTATGGTTTTTGTTGTTATGGTGGTGCTGGGAATTGAATCCAGAGCCTTGCACATGCTGGCAAGTACTATATATTTAACTATACCTGCAATCCCCAAACTTGATTTTGAATTTCAAATGAGTTCAAAATAATGATTTTATAGCATCTAACAGTTCTCATCACCACACACCAAGCATTGTCCTAAACACTTAATTAACTCACTCGGTGCTATTTTTGTGTCTCCTTACCATGTTTTAAGTTGCCCAGTGAATGTCTTCATTCCTTCTATCCACAGCACCCAGGACTGTTGTGGCACTAAGTAAGAGCTCAAGCAGAATTTATGTAACAAATGAACCCTGCCATGGGAATACCATGTTATGGAGAATACCTAGAAAATCTAGAAAATCATTGCATTCTATATTATATTAGTTTCAAGTTCAACAAAAGTTCACAGAAGGGAAATACCAACATGAGCCAAAGATGTATTGAAAGACTTAAGGATGTTACAAGTCTTGAGTTGGAAATAAGAAATCTAAATATGGATTCTTCAACACTACTTCAGCATCTTAGCAGCAAGATTTCCCACTTGGAAGAATAATGGGTGGTGGGTGTTGGAGGGAAGGAATTAGGTCCTTGTAAGGGATTTCTTCTGTCCCATCTACTTCCTAACCTCAATACCAACCTTTTTGATTTGGGCTGACATTGTCTATAATCTTAGCATGTTCCACAAAGTGACTATGCCATAAATATTTGTGGAGTGACAGAAGTTTGTCATAAAGACAAAACTAAACCCTGAATTATAGACTGACATTCATTAAGAATTCATAGAAAGGAGAAGGATGGGTGTGGTAACCTCTTACTGAAGGATCTCTAGTAGATACAGAATTCGGTTGGGCTGTGGGACATAAAAACACAGGTTCTCCCTCTCCCATGCCCCCTAATGTTTTTCCAAATTGCCAGTTAAAGTAGCCCTAGTCCTCTAGAACAGCTAACACTACAGTGCCATTATTGATGGCCATTAGCCACATGTGGCTATTCAAATTTTGATACAACTTTAAATTCATTTTTTTTCAAGTTTTGCAACTAACCATATTTCAATGTCCAATAGCCACACGTGTCTAGTAGCTGCCATGTTGAATACCTCAGATGAAGAATATTTCCATCACCATAGACTGTTCCGTTGAACAACACAGATCTAGGGAGTAAATCTACTCTGAACTGCTGAAGGTGCAAGTATGAGAGTGAAAGAGACATATTTAACTGCTTTTCACAGACGAAGCAAAATTCCTCCACCTTCTATACTTTTAGCTATCATACCTAAGTACTTAATTAGCACTTTCCCGGTAACAGTTCCTACACTCTCAGGTTGTAGGCTGTGTTCATTTTGTTTTTTCCAATCCAGCGGTTTTTAGAATATTCACAAATTTATGTAACTATAACCATTATCTCTACTTACAGAACATTTTCATCACCTCAAAAGGAAACCTTGTTTCCATTAAGCAGTTACTCTCCATTAAGCAGTTACTTTGCCTTTTTCCTATCCCTAGCAAATCACTAACTGGCTTTCTGTCTTTATGGATTTACCTATTCTAGACATTTCAGATAAAAGGAATTATATACACATCGTGTCCTTTTGTTTCTGGCTTCTTTTACTTAGCATAATGCTTTTAAGATTCATCTACATGGTAACATGTATCAATCAGAACTTCATTAGTTTTATGACCCGCATGGTTTGGATGTGAGGTGTCCCCCAAAAGCTCATGTGTGAGGCAATGCAAGAAGGTTCAGAGGAGAAAGGATTGGGTTAAGAGTCTTAACCCAATCAATGATTTAATCCCCTGGTAGGAATTAACTGAGTGGTAATTTAAGTGGTAGGGTGTGGCTGGAGGAGGTGGGAATGGAGATGTGACTCTGGTGTTTTGTATCGAAAATAACAATCTCTCTGTGCTTCTTGATCACCAATGATGTGAGCTGCTTCTCTCTGCCATACTCTCTGCCAGGATGTTTAGCCTCATCTCAGGCCAGGAGAAATGGAGCCAGCCTTCGATGGATTAAGACCTCTGAAACCGTGAGCCCTCAAATAAACTCTTCCTCCTCCACAGTTGTGCTGATCAGGTCCTTTAGTCACAGCAGTGAAGATGCTGACTAAAACAATGACTGAGTAATATTCCACTATATCAGTTCATGGTTTTTTTTTTCTTTGCATTTTTTTCAGCTATTATGAGTAACTATGTAATAAATATTCATGTACAAGTTTTTGAGTAGGCATATGTTTCCACTTCTCTTGGATATATACCTAGCTAGGAGTCAGAATTTCTGGGTTATATGATAACTCTAAGTTTAACTTTTTGAGGAACTGCCAAACAGTTTTGTGAATCAGCTATAGCATCTCATCGTGTGTACATATAAGAAAGATCTCATTTTTCTCTTTTCTTGAATGTGTTTTACATACAGGAACAACCTACTCATAGTATTCATAGTTGGATTGAATGGATGATCATCTACATCAAATGTCCATCTACTCTGGAACTGGTGGACGTCCTGTTGAAGACTAGGATAGGGGTGTAGGCCTAGTCTCCTTAGTGCCTGTCAGGTCACCTTATTAGCCTGCCAAGAATTTTAGTCTATAATTCATGTTTACTGAGTACCTGCTGTGTTCCACTTACTAGCCAAGGTGTTGGGGATTCATTGCTAAGTAATGCACAGTTCTGTAGTTGAAAAGATGGTCATATAAGAGCAGATCTCTAGAATGCTGTTGCTCAGTGCCTGGGATAGTTAGTGAAGGCTTGAGTTAGGGGTTATCAAAAGAAGAAATGTGATGCAGGAGGCAGAACTAAATAAAGAATTTTTTTTTTTAGATAAGGCAGTGGATAGACCTAAATACATGCAGTTCTTGCCCATACGAACATTCCAGAGGTTTGTCTTGGGAATGCACGTTGTTCTTTCACTCATCATCCTTGGACTGAGCTTAGTGCAATGCAACTGAATTGAGCAGTGTGCCACATCGTTATGGGGCAGTCTCATTCTCTGGCTGAAACAAGCTGTCTGTTCTCCTTTGGAATGATGGCATGATCAATTCAAATGGAACTTCTGCTTTAGCAAAAGCCACAGCAATGAGTCCGGGAGCAAAGGCATACACCTGTAATCCCAGCTACTTGGAAGGCTGAGGAAGGAGGATCCACAAGTCCAGCCTGGACAACTTAGTAAGACCCTGTCTCTAGTAAAAAATTAAAAAGGGCTGGGGATACAAATGTAGAGTGACCCTGGGTTCAATCCCCAGTAAAAAGAAAGAAAAAATGAAAACCTCACAACTATGAAAAGTCAGCAACTAGAATTATGTATTCCTGGTTTGATGTCTTCTTGTGCTTCTGACACTGGAAGAGGGATGCATGTGAAAGGATTGTCCTTATATGGCCTCCACCTTGTTATGCTCTGGTGTTCCAACTAGGTGAGGCTCAACCCATTGCCTAGTTGATTCATCTTTTCAATACAAATGAATAAATTGTTTGTTCATTGATATAAACTAGAGAAAATGGAACTCGAGGGTCTTGGGCTGCTCAAAGTACATGACTTTTAAGCTCATCCTAAGGTAGAAGACAAGACTTTCAGACTAGGGCAAGCTGGTTTTCACTTGAGTCTTTAAGTGCTTGTCTACCAATCCAAAATTTCCACTCACAAGTTCTATTAGCATAGAATAGAGCTAGGAAGAAATACCTGCAGAAAAATGATTTCATATGCTGTGTTATTTACTTCTACTTATTGCCTGTAGGTGTTCAGAGGGGATGCCTTTCAGAGTGGCAGAACAAAGGCCTGGTGACATAGCAGCTGGATTTATTTTTTAGAAGGATTCAGTTCAAGTGGGTGAAAATCTTGGGAGGGCTAAAGAATTACAGGGGAAGAGACTGGAAGATGGGAACAATGATCATCCCTCACACTCCCTTTCTGGACCAGTTGTGCCTCTCCAAACAGTATGGAGTGACTGTTGTTGTCTTTCAGATGAAAATCTCTCTATGCTCATACCTAGAGTCACTTGTCTACATGCCTCACAGTACATAAGAACATCCTTAGAAAGATGTTTCCTGTAATTTATATATATATATATATATATAAATTATAATAATATACACTTGGAATGGTTCCTATCAAATAATATGCACCACGAAAATGTTATAGGTAATTAGGTAATTATTATAAATCAGCTTAATTTCCCTAGCTATTAAATTCCTTGTAAATGAAAATCTCACCATCTTGCTCTTTTACTTCTCCCCATAGCACCTATCAGTGTTCTTAATAATTTGTCGACATGGTTAGGACCTTGGACAAGTGGCTTCCCTTTACCCAGCTCCAGTAGGAATACATAGAGATTGTGTGTAGATTTTAATCCAAGTCCACAAACACTATTTGGCGCCCACTGTTTACAAACTACTGCCCTGAAACCTACGCCCTATGCATGGTAAAAATTATCAAAAATGAACATGAAGTCAAGCCTCACGTGGGGATGAGGCCGGGGACCAATAATACTGGTATCTTGGAAGTCCCCAATCCCCCAGCCTCCCGGGGGTGTGGGTGGTCCTCCAAGGCGATACCATTTGCCCTCCACTTCTATTTTATTCGAAGCGACACTTTTCGGTGTTTAGCCGCCCCGTTCGGCCCAAAGGGGACAAGAACCCATTTTCAGCGTCCGGACCCGGGCCCGAGGCGCTGTAGTAACGTGAGGCGGCAGCGCAGGAGGCTCGCGGAACAGATCCCAGCGGTGCCCGGAGCAGATCCCACCGCCCAGCTCCCGAACTGCCCAATCACGGCGCCGGGAGCCGGCGGGCGCCCAGCACGCCCGAGAGTCGGGAGCCGGCGGCTGCGCTGCGGCGAGGAGCGACTGTGGCGAGAGCCTTGCGGCCGGCTGGGTCCCTGGATCCCACTAACCGGCTCTGCGGCGGCCGCCTGTCAGTCGACGTTCGAGACCCTGCGGACGGCGTCTCAGGTAACTGCCCCTCCCCGCGGCGGGGGCACCGGCGCTCGGGAGAAAGGGGCCCCGCAGGTGGAGCGGGCAGGGGGCGGCCGGCCGCGGGGTCCTAGCGCCGCAGTGCTGCTCCGCACATCCCGAGTGCCTTCCGAGCCACCGCCGGGCGAGATACTTCCCCAAGCCGCGGGCGTCCGGGAGTGAGAGGGGCTTAGGTGAGTCGGCCTGAGGTGGGCGGGGGCGGGCGTAGGGGGAAGACCCCTGTGACCTCCGCAGCCTACACAGCACTTGTTGCCAAGGTGTCTTCCCTGGAGACCCAGGTCGTCCAGGACAGCTTCACTGGCCAGAGTGGGGAGGCGACAACAGGTGTCTCTGGGCCCGGTGCCTCTTCCCCCAAACCCCCCACTCCAGGCCTGGAATCCCAGCCTTGGCGTTCCGCCTCACCTTCGGGGTGTCGGGAGACTGGACCCCAGCCTGGCCGCTCAGGCACGCTGCCCGCTGGACAGCGCCCAGAGGCCTCCTGGACCCGGGGCTTTGGATGGAGTTTCCTGCGTGCGTTGCCAAGCAATTTGCCGGACACCGCCTCTGGCTGAGATGAAGAGAGTTGGAGATGAGACGTACGTGTGTGTGTGTGTGTGGGGGGG